CATGCACTCCCTCTCCCCCTGCCTCCCCCCAGACACCCACCTTTAATTACAGGCATGTCAGCAATGAAGAGTGATGGATGTGGATGAACGTACAGGGGAAACAACACACAATGCTTTATAAGAGAGCAAGAGCTATGTTCCCTAAAAATCTAGGTCATACCTATAGTTTGGAAAATACAGGCAAACCCTTCACACATGCATTTTTCCTAGCATCCCTTTAGAGCCTGGCATCAACCTATATTATCCTCATCTCTATTGAAAACCTGGCTCATAAGACCTTATGTAAAGCTGTGTGGGTGCAGAACTGCCAAAGGCATTACCACCTTTGTGAGCAGAAATAATTCAAGTGTCAGATTCGTTCCACAAAGAGCGGCTTGACCTACAATGCATGTGCCAAATTAGTATCTCCCTCCATGTGAAGATGTTTTGGATCCAGAAGTTCACATGGGCAAAACCAAAGATTGTTAGTTGTGCTGTGCTATTATGTGCACACATCGTTCTCAGCTGAAGCCCAGTTATTTGCATCCCAGTTGAAAATGAGACTGCTCTCCCGTGGAGAGCCAGGATGTGACCTGTCATTCCCACTAAGCTGATTTAACGGGGAGCAGTTAAGCAAGGGGAGGGGGTGCAGGGGATGAGGCTCCTCCCTCGGGTCCTCCCGCGCTCCCCGGCAGCAGAACGGGTGGAGCTCCGACCCTGCCGTGAGCCTGTTCAGAGATCCATCTGCTCAAACGGCACAAAGGATCAAATCCCTCCGAGTTACCCGCTTTCTGTCTGCGCAGCTCCTCCATCCAGCTCCCCGCAGGGCCCGCCGTGCGTTCTGCCGGAGTCACAGTCGCGACAGAACAGCGACAGCTGCGAGAACGGCGCCGGGAATGTGCAAAGGCAGGAGCGCCCCGGCTGCAGCGGCGGAACACCGAGAGGCTTCGATGCCATCACAGAAGAGCCTCCTCGAGCTCTGGGGGCAGTGCGTGTGGAACACGTCCACGAGGATGGAACTGTGGCAAGGAAGGTTAAACAGGCAAAGCTTGGATTTTAGGATTTAGCACAAGTACTTAGGCTGAAGCATCTTCCACGTTCTAAATCAGATTCTCTCAGATCAGTGCTGGGGATTTTTCAAGGCAGAACCACCCAAGACAGGGTTACAGTGCTGGTGCCTGTACTGTGACTGCAGTCTGGTCTAATGAATTTTTAAGTACATAAAATAAAATCTTATTTAATCAGACCAGCTTTTGTCTAGCCCTGCAACCTCTCTCCAACAGCTGATTTAACGCCTATAATCAGTAAACACCCCACAGTCCACAAACCCTGTCAGAGATTATAGAAACTTCCAAAAATAAATCTCACATGGAAACTGCTAAGCTTGAATCACAGTTTTGGTGGGCTCTGATTTCATCCTCTCTCATCAGGAAAAATTACAGAAGTTCATATGAAACACTACAGGGCTGAATAACTCAAATTCTAAGCAGATTCTATCCAGAACTGGCTATACCGGTGAGCATAAGAACATGACAAATAAAGAGACTCGGGAGAGCTCCCAGTGCCACTACTTGTGATGAAGGTGGGCCTGTGAAGAGGAAGGTCTCACAGCACCTTCAGACTGTGCCCAAAGGATGTGAAAACCTAAAACATCGTTCTCCTAAAATCTAAAGGCTGTGCTGATCTCTGTCTAGTTGAAGGATGTATAGTCCTAACTGACTTCTCCAATTTCCACTGGATAGGATGGACATTTGTGGTGGGTCTTCCATTGATAAGTGTGGAAATATCACAGTTTCGTTCTTGAATGAGACACCACATTTTGCAGTTGTGGCTCTGACTGTACCAGGGATTATGACAAAAATGTGACAGTCGCTGCAGGTAAAATTGCTTGCTTGCTGCTCTATTGTCTGGCAGAGGGTTTCTTCTCCAGACCCAGCCATATCGATGACTTGTACGTGCACGTCTGTCTTCTTGATATTAAGCAGAAACCTCGGAGGCATGTAGGTGTGAGCAAAGAGTAGAGTATAGTGGCTTGGATGGTTTGAGGGTGCTGGAGAATGTATGAGCTGCTCCAAGTGAAACAAACAGGGTATCAGCCCTCCCTGGTGTAGGCACCCGAACAGGAATGCCCCGAGAAGATTGAAAATAACGATGAGGTGTTTCCATTTCACAGCTCTGTCCTGTGACGCGCTGAACAGGACCAATGGCAAGATGAGAGGAATGAGGAACCGAGGCTCCTGGTGACTGAATAGGGAGAGAAATGCCAAAGGAACAAAATAAAACAGCAGTAATGTTGGATTGCCCTCAGAATGCACCAATAGCCCAGGCAGCCCATGGTAACACGATTTGACCCGTATGAATTGCTGGACATACTTCTTTAACATTTTAAAACCAGCAACAGTGGCCAGAACATGTAAGATCCCAAAGAGCATTATTCCATTGACTGTAAAATGTGTAACTCGTGGGTGACTTCCATGCAGTGCAAGATTATGAGGATTAAGATTATAACTGAGAAAATTGAAGGGGGTTACTACCATTTTCTTATGTAATTGAACTATTACATCAAATAGGCTGCCCTTGTTAATGCTTAAAAGGTTATCTAAGCTCACAGAGGTAAAATAAAAGGTGTCAGCTGTTATGAAAACAATGGCAGTAAAACATGCACATAGTATGAGCTTCAAAAAGTGGTTTATGACACTTTTAATGCTCCTCTGAGAATCAACAATTAAACCTGCCCAGTAAAGCAGGGGCATTAGAGCAAATGCCAGAAAGGTTGGCCTGTTGAAAAACCCAGCAGTTGTTATAACACCTATGAGAGGACTGCTTGTAGGATCCACTGAGCTGCCATTGGACTTTCTTGAGGAAACCAGTACCATGAGAAGAGCAAAGAGAAGTCCTTCAAGCGTGTTGGTAAATGTTCTCGTATAAAACACCAGAGTGACATATGATCCAGCAAGAAGTACCAGCGCTTTCCACAGATCTGCTTCCCAGAAAGGGGCTAATCGATAAACGCTATAGTCGAGTATGAAAGAAAAGATTGTAAAGAGAAGGCGAGGTGATACAAGGAGAGTGTAGCTGTTGATGCAACTTGAACATATGTCCAGCTGCTGCAAAGACTTGATTGCCCAGTAGGTAACTCCTGATGTCATTAATGGGAAAACAACTGTTCTGCAAGGAAAGCTCGAAAGGAACTCCCAAGGATAAAAGACCTGTAGATTTAAAATATCTCCTATAAAGGAAGAGAAAAAGAAAAATACATATAATACATAATACATTTTATTCAGTAATTCAGCAGTAGGGATACTATTTGCTGTCAGAGGTATCACAATGCAGAGCAGCTCCCAGACTTTTGAGACCTTGGTGTCAACCTTGACGGTTTTAGGAGTGTACCGTTCGTTTTCACAGAGAATCAGGAAAAAGCAGCTCGTCGGGGTGATGCGGTTGCAGGCGCCACTCGGTGTGGACAGCACAGAGCAGGAACCCACCGCCCACCCAGCCCTGCGGACCCGCTCCTGCCCGGCTTGCGGGAAGCGCCGTGTGACAGAGCGGGACAACGAGCCGGCGGCTCCGGGGATCCCTCGGGAACACCCGCCCGTGCCCGGGGCTCCGCATCCCCCGCATCCGCGGGGCTGTGCGAGGCAGCGCGCCCGGGGGTCCCCCCGCGTTATCCGCGCCCCTTACCTGCCATGACCTCGGGCGCCTGGAAGAACTCGTCGGGGTGCAGGTACCCGCTCTGCGGCAGGAGGCACCAGCCCGCCCTCAGCGCCGCCAGCAGCGCCCACAGCGCCCGCGCGCCCATGGCGGCCCCGCGCCGCCACCGCGCCGCCAGGGGGCGCCCGCCCGCCGGCACGGCCGCCGCAGCGGGAGCCCCGCGCGCATGCGCAGCGATCCCCCATCAGCCGCCCCGCCGGCTGAAATCCAGGGAATCCAGGGGTGGATTGGGCTGGAAAAGAATCACACCCTCCACAGAATGTGCTGAGTTGAAAGGGACCCACAAGGATCATCGAGTCCAACTCTTAAATGAGTTGAACTCTTAAGGGAATAGCCCATATGGGGATCAAAGCCCCAAGCTCGGTGGTGTCAGCACCACGCTGTGGCCAACTAAGCCATCTCGGGGCCACCTTGGAGACCCCTCGAATCCAACCTGTGACCAAACACCACCATGTCAACGAGACCATGGCACTAAGTGCCTCATCCAGTCTTTCCTTAAACACTTCCAGGGATGGTGACTCCACCACCTCCCTAAGCAGTCCATTCCAATGTCTAATCACTCTTTCAGTGAAGAAATTCTGACTGATGTCCAACCTAAACCTCCCCTGGCACAGCTTGAGGCCATGTCCCCTTGTCCTATTGCTTGTTACCTCGGAGAAGAGGCTGACCCTCACCTGGCTACAACCTCCTTTCAGGCAGTTGAAGAGAGTGACAAGGTCACCTCGAGCCTCCTTTTCTCCAGGCTGAACACCCCCAGCTCCCCCAGCCACTGCTCATCAGACTTGTGCTCCAGCTCCTTCCCCAGCTCTGTTGCTCTTCTCTGGACACACTCCAGCATCCCAGTGTCCTTCCTAAATTGAGGGGCCCACAACTGGACACAGTACTTGAGTACTGTGGCCTCACCAGTGCGTAGTAGAGAGTACAGAGGGAATATAATCACTTCCCTGGTCCTGCTGGCCACATTATCCCTGATACAGGCCAGGATGCCATTGGCATTCTTGCCCACCTGGGCACACTGCTGGCTGCTGTTCAGCCGGCTATTTCATAACTGACCAAAAGCCCAGAGAGAAGGAACACAGCAGTGACAGCAGCTGGAGGCAGCTGGCCAGTAATTGTGGGTCTGGGCAGCGGGCACCATGTCACAAATCCCTGCCACAGACACGCTCATCCCATCTGGCACAGCTGGGGACTGGGCTGGGTCTCTCCTCCTCCAGCTCTGGTAACCTGGGAGCAATAGAATGGTGGGCAGCAAAGGGGAAACACAAATGTTCATATCCCAGAAAAGCAGTAGTTTAGCTATCAGGCTGCAGTTTGGTTAAAGTGTAATTACTTCTCATATTTATTTGTTATTTTCACTTATTTACATGATTATTATCTGTTTTTACACTGAATGTCTGTTCATCCCAGGATCATGAGGCAGGTAGGAAGACAGTGCCTGCCAGCAGCACAGCAACATTCATGGTTAGTGCAGCTATGGATAAAAATAAAATCCACATTCTACAGCCAGTAGAAACAGAAATGGTTACTCAGAAGTGAAGTACTTTTGTTTCACCTACAGCAAATACAAGTTTCATGCACGGGCACTCAGGAGAGCCCTGTGTGGAAGGAGGAGAACCAGAAGGTTCTTGATGGAGACTGCATCAGATTAAAGATCACAGGATATCTTGTGAGTACTGGGTGTGGTAAAGTCAACAAGCTCAGTGGATGCTCACATATGGATTTGTCCTTTTCTCTGTCAACAGGTAGTCCCCTCCAAGTCTCTCTGGGCTTCTTTTTTGTCCAGTGTCTTTGGAAATTTCCCCTACTTCCTTCTACTGGAGGGTGGAAGACTTTGTCCACAGCTGTTCAGCTGTTTTCTAAACTGGTCTCTGTCCACAGCCTGTCCATCCTCTGTGCACTTGCCTCTATGGCAGCAGAGCTCGGGAGGAACTGGGTAGGATGGGTTAAGCAGGGATGTGCAGTCTGAACTTAACCAGCCAGGAAGCCAGAGAGGATTCACTAGACAAGGTTTTTGATACTGCCTTCCAACATGCAGAAATTCTTCTACAGGTCAGAAAACCAGTATCCATCTAACAATACTTGGAAATCCTGAATGGTTCAACATCAGCAACGATGGCAGAGATGCTCCAGGTTTGGACTGATCTTGTAAACCATGTTGATACTGTATTGCTGGCTTCTGCCACAAATTCCACTCCATCCACACAGACGGGGCAGCTTCCAGCCCCATCCCACTCTCCTGATGAGCAGGTGCTGTTGGCACTTGCCCTGCAAGAGGCAGGAAGAGGCATTCAAATGTTAGCACAGCACATTATCCAAACAGCTTTTCTGAGGAGAAGGTGGTCGGGCAGAGGTGGCCTGGAAGTTGCCATTTGAACCGTCCTAGTCCAAGCCTTGTATGTGACACAAAACAAGAAGGGGAATGACTGCAGCCACAAAGGAGTACTGTGTTATCTTATTGCCTGCCCCAGAGCACTGTGGTGTTTGCATCCCTTCGAGGGACTCAACATATTCACTCCCCAGCCATTCTGTGTATGTTCTCTTCTCTTGTAATGGCACAATCTCAACAGCTGAATCCTTAAAGATCAAGTTTTTTCCTTGAAAAGTTGAAGAATCAAACATTTTGAATCCATTTCCATTGCTGCTATTTCCAAAGTAGACCTGAAAATAATGGAGAGGTTTCAGTATTTTGCAAGATAAAGTGCCACATTCCTCCTGTTCAACATGAAAGACAGTAGGAACTGTTTTGTAGATGAAAAATTCATACACAATTGCAGAATCTCTTACGCGTTTGCTTTTAGACGCTCCAGTAGATCAGAAACAGAATTCTGCCACAGGCAATTACAAGAACAGCATTTGTGATTATGGTTTTTTAGTTACTATCTGGAAAGAGCTGTAGTTTTTAAAAAAATTCTTCTGCCTAAATGTTGTTCTGTAATGTAGAGTTTGTCTGCCCAGGAGTTACAGAAATGACTGAATCCTAGCATGGAGATACTCAGTATTGCTTTTGAACAAGTTAACTTCAGTATGGAGAGGAACCTCTCTGAAGCAGCCAGGCAGATGGTTCACCCTGCACAGGCTGCAGCATAAATATATCCAGCAGTGTTCTGTTGCACTCCTAGGAAAATTCCAGAATGGAAAAGCGTTAGCATGTACTCTATTCCCTGTAGACCTCAAAGTCATGCAGAAACATGGAAAAGTCATGGGAAAACACCTTAAGCTCCAGGAAAATTACTACTGCAACCAGTGGCTGGGCAAAAAGTTGAAATCCCTTGTGCACCAGGGTGGTTTTACCGGGAGAATGACATGGGTTGTATTTTACCTTCTCTGTCACACTCCCAACAACAGGGCTCTGCACGGTCCCATGATATGGCAGAATGGTCCTGTTGTCTTTATCTTTGAACTGTGTTAAACCATATAAGACTCCCCCCCTAAAATAAATGGATTATTAATACCTGGGCTTTGTCCAGTAGTCCATACAGAGCAAAAACGTTGATATCTGGGTGAACCATAATGGCTTGAGCTGGCACCTGAGCCAGGTGACAGTCAGCAAACTGAGTGACTTCAGCACGGGCACCATTTGGACACAGTAACTGGAAATCACTGGACTTTAAGTTTTGGGCCCAACTCTCAGTGTTATTACCTGAAAAAAAGAAGCCGGTCATTGTCACTCATTGAATGCTTTAGAGCAAGAGAAAATAATGAATTATAATAAAAAGCTGTGTAAAAGTAAGTACCATCTGTGTTCTCAAACACTGTCGAGTGCTTCACAAAGGCCACATCCCCAGAGTCCTCTGCCAGGCACCTAAAGGAAGTCAAAGATATAAATTCAATTCAAAGCATCTTTATGTGAACCACATTTTTTATAAAACTCATAGGTTTAGAATACAATTTTTCTTACATACATTCCTGCAAAAAAATGTACTGGACCCAAAGGTAATAAGAAAAAACAGAGAAATTAGGCATCTTGAAAGGAGGGAAAAGCAACATCTTTGCAAAGCATTAAAAAAATATTCTCAATCAAGAATTTTAAGAGAGGAATACAGTAGAAAAATAGTATTAAAACCAGTGTGAGATACAACAGAAAAGGCCAGTATTAGATGAGCAAAGAAATAGAAGACCTATTATGTGATAGTGCAGCATTTACAGTCCTGTACATTAGAGATCTCCAGTTAATCTAACTGCAGTTGCTAAGGGCACTGTTCCAGAGCTAAGTTCAGTTTCCTCCAATTTTCTGAAGGAGGAGCAGCCCAACATGCCAAGGGCACCCTAAAAGTCACCTCCTCTCCTATGAGTGTGATATCCCATTACAGAGAGTGCCAGGGCAGAGGTGTAGAACACACACCTTTACCAGCATGTTACCCTGTGGTGTTCTCTAGTGCACAGTGCAACAGGCACCACAGGCTGTTCAGAGATTTTTGTGTTAAGCCTGAAATATGAAGTCAACAGACAGGAGAAATGCACAGTAATTGCTCTACTCAGTAAGAAATACATAAATAACATCGACCTCAAAACAGTGAGCTGGGTGAACTAGCAAAAAGGATCTATCTTCCCAGGTATTTTGGGCAGTGTGTGGTTGCAGATGATCTGTGGGTAACAGTTCAATGGTGGTTCCTTGCAGTTTATTCTACAAATGTTTTCCAGAAGCACTTTTTAAAACAAGATAATTAAACCCACCAATCAAATAATGTAAAGCTGTAACTGTGCATGGCTTATGCAGTACAAAATGTGAGGGAAAGGTATCACTGCTAACAGTTACCAAAAATACATATATTTCAATTGCACCTGGTTTAACATCAGCAGTTATAATCAAAGGTCTTATCGCCCTGTGGCTGACACTGTCATGCAGAGAATGAGAACTCAGCAGGTGCTGTTCAGTGCATTTCCCCATCAGAAAAAGCTGTTCCTGACAGATTTTTCACTACTCTGCACAGTTTAATTTGCCCAAGGCAATGGGATATACACAAACTGAATGCCTTCTCATACTTTTAGTCTAGTTAGTCTGAAGACAGCCAGAGCTGAAGAAAATCTGGAGGTGAATTCTAAGCTCATCTCAATTACCTCCATAACTCAGTCTTCTTTCAGAGAGGATCACCTAAGTGTCAGAGCCAAACCCACCCCTATCTTGTAGAAGACTGTTATCCTCCATTTTTGCACCCAAATCCTAACCTTTTAAACACCTAAAACTTTGCACATCACTCAATGAACTAAACATCTTCTCTATTAAAACCAAAAAGTGATTTCCGTATAAAGTTTGACTGTATGGGCACTATTATCAAAGGCACAGGCTTAGAATATGAACAAGGCTCATACAGCCTGTAATGGCATTTGTTGCTCATTTATCTGCTGACTGGGAGCTGGCTCTGTTATTCCACGAGGTAAGCAGAGGATCTGGAGTTTGCCTGCAAGGCATGTACCACAGCACAGCAGCTGGACACAACTAAATAGGTTTGCAAAAAGTAGTTATCTAAGCCTAGAAGTTCACTATTTACTAGGCAGCTGCTGTTGAAATCTCCTCTCTGAAGGAAAAAGATGGCTTTCTGCCAGCTGTTACATGCACCATTACCTTCAGAGGTGAAGGTCAGGAAAAGGAAGTGCTTGTTCCATATCCAAGAGTTTCACAGTCCTTGAGTATGGCCCCATACGTACATGTATACAGTAACACAATGTATTTATTACATTTTGTTCCACTATTTATTCCACTATTTTCCTCCTGTATTTTTAACATATTTTGTTTTGAAGAGGATTTGGCAATTGAACATTGGCCATAGCTGTTTGTGCTGTCCAGAAATCTACTTTCAAATACAGCCACCAATGAATCAGTAGTGAACACTCACTCCTGGGTCCCTGCCACTAGCCTGTCACTCTCTGCATGGACGTACAGCAGCCAGATCTTGGCTACTGTGTGCCTGCTTCCCTGCTGGAGTTCTCTATGGATGACCTGCCCATTCAGAGTTGCAGATTGTCTGCACTAGATTAAAGCAAAACTGGAGACTGATGACAATCTCTTTGGTTCTCACTGGGTGGGTGCTGTGTACACAGACAGATGGGTAGGGCTGTTAGTGTGGTTGTCTGCAGACCAGGAAGGTGGCAAAAGGCTTGGACGTGATCTAGTGACCTGTATTGGGGAAGACATCTGGGGACACATGTCCCACCTCATTTACAGCACATGCTGTAGCCACTGTTTGCTCACTGGGATGGAAACTAGGTCCTCCTTGCATTTTGACAAACTGACAAATAACAACCACATGTATGAGTTACCTGAAGGCTCCACTGTAGCTGTAATAACGTTCTCGGCTACTTGCACTGCATTTATTGTTTCCACTCTCGTCCCCAATACAGAGTTGACAGAGTTTTGATGGGTAATTGTCCTGCTCAGCTGAAGGCACACAGCTGGCAGAGAAAAACTCACTCACAGCTGGGGAAAGACAAACCAACACAAGTAGCGAAAAGTGTGGACTCTTCACAAAAACAAGCAGTTATACCATCATGAAGTTATAACCAATGCAGGTTTCAGTAGAACACTAGAAACAGGAGTTACAGCTGCCTTACTGGAATTCACAAACTAGAACTTCTAAGATATTTTCAAAGCACTGTTTAGCTGACTAGGTAATGAAACCAAAGAGCTTCCCAGGAGATAGGAAATAGGCAAGCAAAATTAGAACCTGGAGTTCTATGGTAACAGATCCCTTTCTTGTTGAACTACCTAATGCACTTTGAAAATAACATAATAAAATTCCAGACAGAGATGAAGAGATACATCATTTACTGCAATGATATCCCAGAGCTGGAATTACTTTCTAGAGGGGAGTCATCTCTATTTTCTATGACTATTATTGATATCTGATTTGGGTCAATTTCCTCAAGCAAAAACCAAGGCAGTCAGGTGTGAAAGCAGGATTTTCAAGACAACATAATAAGCTGATTGAATACGAAAAGCAATGGACTCTTCAAATGCATTTCTGAAAGCTGGAATAAACTTCACCATTTTGATACACTGAGGCCAGGACTGCCATTGAGATGGGTCTGGTCATGCTGGAGAAACAGGCTGACGGGAACCTCAAAGTTCAACAAAGGCAAATGCAGAATCCTGCTTTTAGGATGGGGTAAGAACATGGAAGGCTGGCAGGCTGAAGAACAGCTCTGTATAAAAAAGGTATCTGGGGATCCTGGTGGACAACAGGTTGATCAAGAGTCATCAGCATGGTTTTGTGCCTATGAAAGCTCATGGCATTCTGGGGTATGTTAATGGAGCAGTCAGGGAGCAGTGGTTCTCCTCTGACATCTGTGCCACGTTCTGAGCTCCCAGTGCTAGAAAGACATGGACATTCCAGAGCAAATACAGTAGGAGAGTGGGATGCCCAGAGGCTGAAGCACAACTTGCACTTACCAGGCTGAGAAGTGGGTTTGGTCAGCCTGGAGATAAGACAACTAACACTGTATTGCTGTCTTCATTCACATAGCAGGTTTCTCAGGAAGACAAAGACAGATCCTTCTCAGGGATGCAGAGCAAAAGGATGAGAAGTAACAGAACCAAAGTGACAGGAAGGAAATTCTGATTAGGTACAAGAAAAAAACTCTTTATACCAAGGATGGTCAAATACTGGGACAGTGTCCAGAGATGATGTATATAATCTCTATCCTAGGAGTTACTCAGAACCTCCCTAGACACAGCACTGAGCAATCTGGACTATCAGATCTACTTTGAGCAGTTGGTTGGACTAGGGATGACCTCCAAAGGTCCTGTCCAACCTGAATTAACCACTGATTTTTTGATAAAGGAAAGGAATACTTTTGTGTTAGATGTAACATTCTCAGTTAGACCCCCCCACTAGTCCACTCTGGTGGCAAACTTAAAATTTCAAATCGTTATATTAAAAACACAATACCCCTTCACAAACAAATATGGTTAATACAGAGCTATAAAATATCGAACTTACTTGCCTAATTAAAGTTTATCATTAAACTATTACTGTATTTTTGATATGTAGTATTGTTGTCTTACCTTGAGGAATATTACAGTCTCTGGGCTTAATAATCCCCCTCTTAATTAGTATGCCAATGGGAATATTCCATCCAGCATTTCTCCCAAGTCCTGTGTGGCAGGATTTCTTCCCTTTCAGGTCACTGATGGTGAATGCATTGGACAGATTTCGTTTCACTAACACCACAGCATAGTATGCATTGCTGCTGTCATTAGCTTGGAGAAAAAAACCACAACACATTACAGCATCCCTTCAGCATTTCCACTGCTCAGTGATCATCTACAGATTCATTACTCTTATCAGGTGCCAACTTAATTGAACCAACATTCAGCTAGTCAGGAAGTATGGATGCACATGGAATTACTCTTCACTTCTACTACCTCACACTGCTGCATTCATCTATAGCCTGTAAGCTGGCACTGCTGCACCTGAGCTGAATAAACTAGAGACAGACAGGAAAGTGTTCTTGTTAATGCTAGCTCTTACAAATACATCCCTCTGAAAAACAACATTTGGGTCATTAGTCACTTAGCAAATCTGCTTTAAGAAGTTATTTTTATGTGAAAACCTCAAACCTGTATTAAAACATCAATGAGTTTTGCATAATATTGAAACTCTACCTTAAGTGACATCATGGACACAAGGCCACTTTTCATTGGTGACTCTGAAGCAGCCATATTGACAGGAAGAATTTGCTTTTAACTAGAATCTACTGTGTAACTTCTGTATTTTTGTTTCTGTTAAAAATATTTCGACTTTGTGAATACTACTTTTTTCCATTGTAAATATTTTTTTGCAGAATTGAAAAGACAAATAAAGAACTCCAAAATTCAAAACTGTCAAAGACTCAACCTGGTCCTGTAGCAGGACAGATAAAAGTTGACTCACTGTAGAAGTGTCATCTCATACTTATTTCCTCATCTATCCATGCTGTGGGGGTAATAATTCTCATGTATTTGAAAACAGCATTCCCAGCAGGGCTAGGGACAAAGGCCTGTGCTTTTAGAGCTGTTTTCAAACAACCTGGAAAAATAAGGTCTATATTTATGTTTCCCGACCTTCTTACCAGAGTAACTTTCTCCAGCAGCTGGTACAAGGCCATATGTCTTCCCAGCTGTGTAAATATCAGCTCCACCCAGAACTACGGCATCACTTTCCTTTTTCTGAAAAATATAAGAAAATGTAGGATTTCTGTGAAAAAACAGAAGATACTTTCCCCACTACAACAATGACACCTTGAGCATCACACCTGTTGGACCTTGAAGGGCAAGGCTTACAGCAAAATAGCAATACACTGCTAAAGAAAACTTCCAAAATGTGCACGAAGCATCATCAGTGAAACAATGACAGGAGATTTCACACATACAGGCTTCAGTTAGACAGGCAACAGTGCCCTCATCACAGCTGAAGATCATCAGGGTTCAGGCCCATCCATACCACCTGAGCTACCTCCTTAAAATCCAGTGTTCCTACTGGTCACACAGGTATCTCTAACCCAGCAGGGAGCAGTTTCTGTTCATTTGGTTTATTGCACAAGGATTAGAGCAGCCTACCTGGATCATCTCCATGCACTCTTCCTTTGTCTTGGCTGAAATACACTGAATTTCTGGTTTCAAATTCTTTTTCCTAAAGGCAACAGCCATTTCACCACACTTCCAAATCTCCTCAGTGGATACAACACACCAATTCAGGCTTTCTGGCAAGGCTGCACAAAATTAAAAAGCAAATAATACATTCACTTTCTTTTCAATAGACAAGGAGGGATTCACGCTGCCCCCTGTTACACATTCCACACATGTTATGGAAAATGTTTGCTTCTGTGTTGCTCCCCATCCCTCCAGCTCAGACTTCCACCTGATCAGGAACCAGGGCACTCCAGATTAGCAGTTATGTTCACACTGCAAACCCATCCATAGCAAAGGAACAACAACTTCTACAATTGCTGACCATTAAGCACAGCCATAATGTGTTAGTTGAGTGCATCAAAAAGTCTCCCTGAACACAGACTTCCTCACACCCGACAGTCACGGAGCAGCGCCCACAAGACACAAGTCTGCAAGGTGAGGGGCTTTGCCACAGCACAGAGCGTGTCTGGAGGCTCAGTTGGCAGGATTATTAAACTTCTTAAGGCAGAGATTCTTACAACCTGTCTTTTTGACTTTCCCAGAAGGCATATCAAGTAATTTCTACTTTCTTCTGATAGTAGGAAAGACCATAATGCTTCAGTAAAGAGCAACTGAGGATTTCCTTCAGCTTCTGGAGGAAATCCATTCATACATTTTTATAGACTACCTGAGGATTTGTGCAGCAGTGCATTATTATTTCCCCTTGTCAGCAGGTAAGAAATTAAGTACCAAGTAACAGTAGCAGTTTACCAGATGAATGTCTCCATATACCAGAAAGGATAAAAAATGCCTGATCTTATAACACACAGAGCGTGCCAATTTGCACAGGAAAGTATTCTGCAATGTGATATTGTTTCTATCAAAAGGTGACCTTTCTGCAAGCTCAAAGATCAGACTGGCACCTTGCCATAACCCTCCAAGAGTGAGGAGAAAAACCAGAACGAACATGATCTCTGCTATCACCTATCTTTGTTCTTTGTTATAAGTAGGAATCTACAGACAACTTACTGTTGGGGTCGCAGCTCAGAGCTTGCATGGCATGAAGATACTCATCACCCAGCCATGCTTGATAATTCTGAGCTGTGATTGCAACGAGCTCTGTCGTGGAGTCTCGGAACAGAAGATTTTGGGCACCGTAGGCTGCAGAGTCAAACATCTGAAACTTGGCACCCACCCCATTAAATCTTTGCTGTAATGTTAAAGAAGAAAAAAGCACCTGTCAGACATCCCTCTGCCTGGGATCTATGACATCCCATACCCCTTCAAACCCCACAGAGCCGAAGGTGCCCAGATATCCTGTCTTCAGTTCACCAAGAGGGGTGGGAGAACCCTTCTAAAATGCAACACAGTGATGAAAAAACGGTGTCCTACTTGTCCCTGGTTTAGGAGCTGGAAGACAACTGTTCCATCTGTGTCAGGCCGCACAACCACGGCGCGAGCTGGGACTCGGGCCAGGTGGCAGGTTCTCCACTCTGACACTTCAGCTCTGCTGCCATCGCGACACAGGAGCTGGAAGTTCTGGGAGCGAAGCCGCTGGGCCCACAAGAAAGAACTTCTTCCTGAAATCAGAGAGGACATGCTTATGGAACAGACCTCAGGTGGGGCTGATGCTCCTGGCTCCAAGCCTTCTCTAAACATCACTCACACACGTGGAGCAGGACACGCACCTCCTGAGCATCTCTGAGCTATTCCTGATGGCACAACACACCCCGTGCACCTTTGGGGTCCTCTAGTTCTTTACGTCTGATGAGACAACAGACAGCTTAACACTTGTGAGACTGCACTGAGCTGTACTGGGGTCTGCAGCAGTATCAAGAGCATCCCTAAGTTTAGGATCATGGGCAACATTTTTCTGGTTTTTCTTTCCACTGGGTCAGACAGGTCCATGATATTAAAGCAATGATATGCTCAAGGTGGTTTTCACATAGTGCCAGATAGGGCAGGTAACCTGTTGTTTACTTTCTGCTACTCTGCTGAAATCCCTTGGTAGGCTGGAGCAATGTAACAGCCCAGGTCTATATAAAAATAATTTACTGCTGTTGAAATTCTCTTTCCAAAAGCAGCTTAAGATTCCACCTCTAACCTTTATTGAAAGTATCAAGAAAAAAAAAATCCCATGGATTCTGTCTCCTGGTGCACACCTCTGTGGGTACATGTTTTCCCTATCACAGCATTTATTTGCTGATTCCTCAATTCAAAATACATCAAACATTTGATATTATACTGTCATTACAGACGCTGTATTTCAGACCTTGCAGCCATTATTCAACAAGCTTCAGGATTACTCACCATCTGTATTTTCAGGCACTGTGCTGTGCTTCACAAAAGCAACCTCTCCAGAACCTTCAGCCAAACACCTAATAGATATAAATCCAAGCACAAAGATGCATTACAAAACCCAGCTCCTGTGCACTGGCCACTGCCGACAGCCCGAGGGCTCTGTGCTCCGTTCCATCAGACACAGACACTGACCTATTTCCTTGTGCTGAGAGTTTTGCTCAAGGCAGAGACTAGTGGCTGTTAGAGCATGAAGTAAACTATCATTGTCATTTGGTGAACATGGACAACATGTTCAGTGCTGCCTGGGACAAAAACCATGACCTTTTTTGTCCAGGACAGTTTCTCTGTCTAAGGCAGTCACACAATCCTTTGGGGAATGTGCAGGAAGGAGCAAGGAGCAAGTGTTTCTTGTAAGCAAATTCTGTCCTTGCTCAGTTAATGCTATTACTCAGGGACTGGGAGCTCCAACACAGCACACAGACAGAAAAGAGGAAAATAAGGGATTGGTGTGCAAAAATGGAGGCAGAGCAAGTCGATAATTCAGTGCCACTGAGGTGGGATGACTGAGATAACCAAGTAGGGCAACAGTTCAGCTCTCAGACTCCAAACACCATCAGGTTTTACTGGGAAAGATAAAGTCAGTAAAGTCTGATGAAACAAACACTCTGATTTTGTCAACAGCTGCTGGACAAAACAAACAGCAAATAGAGCTTTTCCTGCCCCATATATGTGCTAAATATCCATTTGGTTTTAATACTCAGGTATTAATACTTGAAATAGTGGGTTAAGAATTACTTTTGCTCAGTTAGGTTAAAAGCATGGTTGTCCTAACAAAACTGCAGATTTTCTAGCAAGATAAACTGGAAGCTCTATGGCTTCAATTTCCAGTCAGTGAAGCCTAGACTGGTGTCTATAGAGAGAGCACAGTGATAAAAAGATTGACAGAGACATAATTTTTACCTGAAAGCCCCACTGTAGTCATAGTATTGCTCTTGGGAATTTCGTTCGCATTTGTGCTCTCCAGCCGAATTCCCTATGCAGAGCTCACAAAGGGATTTGGGATAGTTGACACCATTTGCTCCAGGAACACAGCTTGCATTGAAATATTCACTTACAGCTAAAAGCGAAATTAGAATGAGACATTTTTTAGCCATGAAAAAACAAGATCCTACAATCTCATTTTAACACAGCACATCTCTGAAGAGATTTAGAAGGCATAAGTCATTTTTTTCTTAAAAGATGGTTTCCAAGTTTAAAAACCAAAAACCCTGCAGTCTTTGTCAGACCTACATTAGGTCTATTCCCTGGTGCAAGCATCATCGAAGCCAAGGAACAAAAAAGCAGCTGAACCACACGTTTCTGTTCACACACAGGGGCCCAAGACCACTCAGAAAGGTATTGCTGAAGAACAGATCTTTGCCCTGTAACTCTTACCTTTTGGAAGGTCACATCCCATTGCTGCCAGGCGCCCACTGTCAGTCAGATAACCCACTGGCACATCCCAGCCTGCAGTTCTGTTGATCCCTGTGTGACAGGAACGCACACCCTTCAGGCTGTTGATGGTTATGTTGGAGCTCTTCTTTACCACAGCCACAGCATAATAGGAAGTTCCAATCTCTGCAGCATAGGAAGAAAGAGAAGCAAGATAAGTAGCCTCACATCAGCATTACAGTGAGATACATTGATTTGTGGCCTCTTGTGGCTCCCCTGCCCACGGGCAAGTTACACTGTTAACATCCTTGGTGAGAACCTGCTGACTGTGAATCAATGTCCCCCATTATTTTTTCAGTGTGCGTTGTCTTAAAGTCCACAGGCAATCTGCTCTAACTTCGAAGGTCACCCTGTTTTTCCTTTCTGGAAGAAGTTTTCCATGATTCTAAATGTATTTTGATTGAATTGAAACCAATATAATTTATTCCCCAGTTGATCTTAATTTTGATACAGCAGAGCAAGCTGACATCCCTGGAGCACCAGAGCTCATTTCATTCTTTTTGTTTCACAGTTTGATATAACTCAAAGAGTCAAGAGTTGAGGGTCTGAAGTGACCATAAGGTCATTCAATCTGACTTAATCATTAAATTTCATTCACTTTTCTTTGATTTGAGGCTCATAATCTGAGTAATAGAGACAGCCAACCTCTGGATAATGAGGCCTATTTGGTTTTCAGAAGCCAAAGTACAGTTCCCTCACCCAAGTCATGATGTAGATGATCCAAGACCTCAAGTGCCCAACAAGCACTTCTGAGGATGCCTTTGACCATATGACACTTAGACCCAGCTACAGACCAAATCCAACTCCATCTCACAATAGAGTGGTGGGACACAACTGCCTGCAGACTGCTTCCAGAGTTTTTCCTTCCTTTGGTTCTCTTAAAGTGATGTGCAACATCATCCAGCTCTGAACTACACAACTAAGCTGATACTGAGCCCTTAGTCAAGATGACAAGTCACCACTGAATTATTGTCTCTGCCTTGAAAGGAACTCAAAGCTTAACGTCACCTAGACAAGGAGCAGAAACAGCACTTCCTTTCCTCCAGCAGGCAATCATACACACTACTAAAACCAAAATCTAATTATTCTAATTGTACGGGTTTGAGAGATAAACCTCAACAATTTATGCTTTGTAATTCAGTGATCTGAAAAGTATGGAACAGAGAAGACAGTAAGCAGTGAGACAGTAAAAAATAAATAAAACCCAACCCAACAAACCTATTCAGGAATAGCTACTCTGACCCAACTGTTTCAGGACAGACTTGGCCCCAGCCTGGCATCTCCTCTTTCCCCACACACTCTGTTACAGGCAGGAGCAACTAAGAAGGAACCTGACCACTATCTACTGTTTAGTCTTACAGGGGAGGACCCCAAATAAAATGGAAACAGTAAATTCTTGTGCATTTTAAGTCATCTAAAAGTTATTTAGTCAGAATATACCTTGGTCATATACTTCCCCAACCACTGGTTTCAGACCATTCTCCTTTCCAGCCTGGTAAATCGAGTGGCCGTCCAGTGTCACTGCATCTGCCAAATCATCCTGTGCAGACACAAGGGCAGAATATATGTTGAAACTCAATTATCAGTATTTATCAACAGCTAGAGTACACCTGAATTTAGAAGAGGAGGCCCCTTAGTCTGCATTTGTGTGTTTTCTTCTCTCCAAACAGTTATTTTTAAGGGCACTCAAATTTCTGAACAATAATTACCAAGAGGGATTTTAGCATTTCAAAACTGCCTTCCTTCAGAAACAATGCAGAAACCAGCTCTGTACTATGATGGCTTCACTAGTCTTAATAGTCCCAAGGAACCTTAAAATGGATCCTGCAGGTCTGTGATGAATCTTGAGGCCCAGCGATTTGGAGTTTCATTCATATCTTTAGCTAGTGCCCCAAAGCTTGAAGATTAAATAAAGTAAATATAGTTTTGACACCATACACATATAGTTTAAAATAATGTCTTCTGGGGCTGCAAAATCTGAATGCCAAAGTGTACTCAAAAACAACTAAAGCACACTGGCTTGTACCTCCACGCACAGGCAGAGGAGGGAGCAGATGGCAGTGTGCTTCCAAGAAGGAGGAGAGAATCTAAAAAGGCTGTTCAAAACTGGGGGAATACAAATCTGAGGCATCCACTGCTGGGAAGGTGTCCAACACCACCATATTTTTCTGTTGACTGCAACACCAAGCTGGCTGGAATCCTGCTGCAGGATTGCTCTGGATAGCACAGGATGACACTTCCCTCAGCAGCAAGGCTGAGAGAACTGCTGTACACACACCTGTGGCCAGCTGAACCCACCTCCCACTGTGTACTGAAACTAGTGGGAGCCAGGAGAGGGCATTTCACACAGAGACAAGATATTGCTGACAAAATAATCAGCAGTGTGACATTTTGCATTTCTAAGCTGACTCTAAGTTTCTTATCAGTTTGCTTAACCTCTGGCTCAGCATTGGAGGGGGTAATTTAGCTCACCCATCCCTTGGGACGTTGCAAAGCACTAGTTAAAGCAGGGCTGGGACTGTGCTGCCCAGCACACCACAGCAATTTCCCACAGGCTGAGACACATAAAAAGCTTGAAAATTTTTTAAGGGATCACATGAGAGCATAGGTAATATGTTGATGTGGACAGCTAGACTAGATCTGAAGTTGCCATGTGATTTGAAATCCTTTATTTGTTTGACTCAAAGGAGAAAAAAGATTATATTCATTAATTAGCCAAAATAATCAATGTCCTGAGAGTTGCTTCTCGTGAAATGAGTGCTGAATGAATCCAAGAGAACCTAAAGAGGAGTTGGGGTTCAGACATATTTGCATCTTAAAGAATAGACACAATCTTTGTGGAATAACCAGATGTGATATTCCACTGGTGAAGGGCAGAGCACAAGACAGCTTAGGAATCAAATATGGCCTGTTGTTTAGAAGGGACATCCAAGAGTGAGAAGGAGAGGAGGTGGGAGGTAGAAGGATCTTACCCTCAGGAAAACAAAATGAGCCTCTAGAATTGATGGTTGACAGAAAATAGAGCAGATGAAATGAAAAGAGCTGGCCACAGAGCCAAAGACTGTGTTATGTGGCCATATTTCCATGTCAAAAAGCACTTTTCTGATTGGAAAGCTGAGCCTTTGAGCTCTGTTTAGCAGCAGAGCCTCTGATCAACAGCTTAATAGCTGTTAGTCAACAGACTAAATAGCAGAACAGAACAAGACAAAAAATGCCTCATGTTGTAAACATGAATTAGTTTACAAGCTACAGGTCTCTCCTTTAAATACACACAATTACAGCGGGGACTATTCCACATATGACTTTTTTAATAAGTATATGTGTGCTGGTAATACTTTGCTAATTATTTTCAGAGGAACTTTACTGCTGTGTGTCACAACATTTGAGAATTACCTACACAAGTGTTTGAAAACCTGTTGAAGAACAGCTCTGGTCACACTAAATACTGTCAGGTTCCTTAGTTAAATATTTAGACATTTCTCAATTTTTAAACAAAAGGGTTTTTCCCTTATCCATGTGCTAATACATTCACAGGACTAAGTCCAAGTTACAGAATGTTATAGAACAACATATCTCTGCCTCTTCAGCCGTTGTGTCCCACTCCTTTTGGCCTCAAAGATCAGAGTTCAGTGGGGATGCAGACACAGGGGTTCCACACAGTCCTACCCAGAGCAGGCCAGCTTAAATATTTAGTAGATTACTATTAGCACAAGAAAAAAAAAAAGAGGTCTCGAGGACAAAGTCTTTTCAGAAGCCTTACACTGAAAATTCATTTTATCAGAAAGCTACTTACTCATGCTATCTGCCTGCAGGTTTCTGAGTTCAGCTAAACAAGTTTTATAGGAATCCAAGGTTTTTAGAAAGGTGCCTGCTGCTTGCAATGGCTTACAAATGCAATTCTGGGAGCTCTGTATTTCAGAAGCAGACAATCACCAGTCCTTTCAATAATCTGCTTTGCAGAGTCTAACAGGTGCCCTTGTGCAATGCAGCAATCAGCCGAGTGCTTTTGGGAAGATCCGACATTAGAATGTATTTCTTGTCTAATCCCAAGGAAAGATCCACATATATATCAATATCTGCTCCTAACATTCTTCAATACAGTCTTCCTCACTCAAGAACAGAACTTATCAAGAGGCAATGAGGTAGTTTTAGTAATCAGACAGCCATTATGCTTCTGTTGACAAAAATTACAAGATACCAATTTTTGAAATTTGTTCCTTTTATCTGGCCACAATCATCTGCCTCATCTCCCTTCAAACTGCTCTACCAGACCTCCTTTCCTTGCTCTGAACCTCTTGTCCTTGACAGCCTTAACTTCCTCCACAAAACCCTGATTCTTGGGCATGTCTACACAGTATTATTACTTATTAACACAGCCAGTCATCCTTCCCTTTCCCCACACTCTGCCAGTGAAGGCAGCCATGATTACCTGCCTCCACATTTCTTCCAATATCCATGTTTTGCCTCCTACCACCTCCTAAAGAGGGAATTATTTTGCACACAGCATTTTGCAAATCCACATGTTCAGTCTTTCAAACCTTCCCCAGAGCAATGTTCCTTTTGGAAACTGAGCACACTCTGGGCAGTTGAATTAATAGAGCTGGGTTTGCGTGCCCTTTGCTCACCCCACTTCCTGCTTTGTCTTTCTCTTGTACTCTGGTGTTGGGAGATTTGATTTGGTTTTACACTCATCTCATCTGTATATACAGCAATTTCCATGACCGGACCCTGAAATAGGAGTTTGATCCAGAGTTTATCAAAATACAATCTACTTATAAGCTCAGCAGCACAGCTTTAACTACTGTCTGCATCTTATACCTCCATCCCTTCTTAAATATCTGCTAAATAAATCTGACAATTCTCAAATCAAAGATTAGCATTTGGGAGGAAATGTTTAAGACCTTTGCTGAGTTTCTAATGACTGGCCATACGTGAGCAGCCAAACAGATGACATGGGGCCATTCTGACATTCACGTTCATATGAATAGTATTATGACTTTTTAAAAAAGTATATGCTTTGATTTTTCAGAGACATGAGTGCCAAGAAGCCTATGGTTGGCTGCCTGGATGGTCAGACACTCACCACAGAGCCATGTACATCACCAATGGATTATTATTAGGCACGTGGGGAAATTAAATCAATAACACTGCTGTCCCCCACAGCTCACCTTGATCATCTGGGTGCAGTTGGCAGCTGACCCCCCTGCTGTGCACTGCAGAGTGGGGAGGATTCCAGCCTCACCAAAGGCCTTACTCATGTCATTACACTTGGAAAGTTCTTGCTCAGAGACAGTGCACCACCGGATATGTTCCAGGCCAAGAGCTGCAAACACAACACCAAGAGAAAATATTATAAAACACATCAGCGCCTTCAAAACAGAGCTTACCATTTAATGGCTCCCAAAGAGCCAGCTTTTCATTCTGCTTCTCCCTAACAGAAAAAAGTCAGGGCTCTTTTAGCAATGGGTCTTTAGAGATTATTCCCACTTTCATTTTGCTTACCATGAATATTGAAGGTTTTTTGGACTGAATACAAGACAGGGTCAGACTCAGATACTGAAACCCAATGGCATTTGTTTCTGACATAAGAAATACAGATACCATGGAATAGGTCAGGGCGTCTAGACTGTTCTTAAAACTTTGCAGAACACATAATCTTTTCTCGTGTCAGAAGCATTTAAAATGATACACTACAAAACCAAAGAGACTGCCTAAAGATAACTTTGTCTCAATTATTGCTGGTTAGTACCTGGAGTCCTGCCCCAGCCCTTTTTGGTCTGAATTAGGAAAGCAACCTTGAGTGCTCAAGAGCCTTGCCACTAGGCTTATTATGAAAACTAAAAAAGTAAACTCGTCACTTCAAAACACTCTTTCATAAGAGACCATAACCACAGCCATGAATAGGGGAGGGTGGTGCCATGAATGAAAAGACTCAAGTTTAGTAGTGGAGATTTCCATTAATCAGTGAAGAAAGGTGCCTTTCAGCAGGTCCAAACACCACCCTCCTACGTCTCAAAGCTACAAACACTTGGTTGCTCTTGTAAGGAGATGTCACCAACACCAACGGTGTGGCTGCACACGCGAGGATGGCTTATGCTGACAAACAGGCACAGATCGTTTCTGTAAGTGGGGGCACAACATTCTACTGCTTTTCTACAATATGGATTTTTAAGCTGGAGTCTGCTGCAAGCTGTTTGTCATGTGGTTTTCTAAGACCTCTAACTGGCCCTCTACTTCCCACCAGTGTCACGCAGTTGAGATGCCACATCCAACTTTGCAAGTTAAAAGTTACTCCACTAGTGCTCGACAGTGCTCCCACGCACGTTCTCTGACTGGGTGGCTGCAGACTAAACAAGATTGTTGATGCCAAAAAACCCGACACTGAAACAGCGGTTTTGGCTTGTTGTTCCACTGCAACAGGGAGCCAACTCTACTGCTGTCAACAAACATTAAGTCAGACTTGGAAAACTTACAAGAAGTTTTAATGGCAGTATGTGCTAGTAGAGGGAGAAACAATTACCCACCTCTGAGTTGCAGGAGTTCTGAGAAACAAGAGATGGTCAGAAGAAAGGCACGACAGGGTCATCATAAAAACACACCTCACAGAAACTTAATCTGTACCTCATCTGCCTGGGTGAAATTTTCACCATTAATTCCTTGGGGCTGAAAGAAGAACCCCAGTTTTCATTGATAAAGGGGTTTGGGTTTTCTTTTCATAAACACAAGCCAACAGAAATTAAATTGGGGTGTCAGCACCTCAGTATGTAAATCTGCCAAGTGCCATTCTTCAGCCTCAGCATTCTGGTTTTAGATATACACACACAGGATGAAGAAATCATTAGCCATACACACCTGAAACATGAAATAAAGCTCATTTGGCTCCGTGTTTCAGCCAAAATAGTGAAACAGTAATAATCTGTTGATTTTTTTCCTCACTCATCAAAACCAGGTAATTATTTGTCCCTTTCCAAACTGCCGACCTTTGTTGTTGCAGGAAAGCCAGATCTGGGCAATGTCCTGGCTCCTTATTTACAAGTTAACCCAGCTGCAGTGGGCTTGAGTGCAGACAAGGCCTGCAGTTAGCCTCTCTTCCTATCATAAAACAGCAGGTCAGTCTCTGAACCCAAGTTTATTCACAATTTTGCCTCTCTGAATTTAAAAGCATTCACCATTAGAATTTGGGAGTGACAGGGGAAAGCCAACATGTTGCACAGAGCATAAGTGAAATAAAGTAATTATTTCTATTTTTACAAAGTAAGTTTCTTACTGTTGTGAGAAACAGACACTACTGCACCAGAAGAAGTAGATTCAGGGCTTAGGGAATGCAACATTTGATACCAATGAGTCAGTGGTATCTTTTCTACTCCTTTTCTATTATTTCCCTCTATTTATTTTCCTGGCCATGAGATTGGTTCTGAAGTGGTTCTAGTTTCCTTCTGCTCTCTCACATCACACAGAGGTGAACCCAAGACATCATGCTACAACCAAAGTTTTGAAGGACACTTACCAGCATGAAAGAAGAGAAGATAGAAGACATTTCTGGAGCTCTTCATGGTGAAAATTTTGGGATCTGTGATTTTTCCAGCCTTCAGAACCCCAAGAAATCAAGGCTTCTGCAAGTGTGCTCTCTCCAGCCTGGTCTTAGGTGAAAATCAGCAGCATTCAATTGCAGATGCACTTTGTTCAGCAATTTATCCTGCTTACCTTGGTACACGTCACCTCGTAATGACTACTGGAAAAAAAAGCATGCTCTCCTCACACTGTCTCTACACTAGCAAAAAAAAAAAAAAAAATTCAGACCTGCAAATTGCAAAATATCGAAGGCACCAATGAGGTTGTTACTGCTTTGGCACCACCCATGGACTTTGATAAACAGCCACACTCCTGCACACAGAGGTGAGGCAGGGCTGTGGAACCAAATCCTCACTTTGAGTTTTGTGTATTCCCTACTCATGGGGCTCAGGAAGCAGGAGGAGATTCAAGGTAAGCACTTTATCTGACTGAGAGGATGGTCACTTTATGCTGTATTCTCAGCACTGTCATTTCATAAAGCTATAACCAGAAACCCAGGCTTTTACAACAGCAAAGCCCATACACTCTACAGGTGGTACAGCACATGCTAAGTGCACATTTCCTGAAACTTAATAGCAAGTGCTATAAAATAGCCGAAGTATTCTGATTTTTTTAAAGGTTTTAGAGAGGCCCAGAAAAAGTAAAAACTTTGCTGACAATAGCTCTGTTAAAAGCTGCTGTGAATTTTAGCATAGCTTTCACAGAGCAACACTCCTTTGCGCTGCCCTTTTCTTCATGTCTCATTAGTCAATGAACTGCAGCTGCCTGTAACACACTTGGTTTAGATAAAAGCCATTGAGTGCTGCTTTGCTCTGCTGACTGCCACTGCTCAGCTCAGCACTCAGCAACAGAATGGCTGTGTCCTGCCATGACTCCTCACACACAAGGAGAGCTGTGTGCATCCCACACAGCCTGTACAGCCAGGAGTGTGGCATGGATGCCTCCAGCAGTTAGTTACTCAGCTATCTGACTGCAATTTGGCCAGGATGCTTTAACACTTACTAGCAACTGTAAGACAACAGCTGAGTCAATTAATTGTTATTTCAAGTTAAGAACTTAAAAAAAAAAAATCATAATGATCCCTCCAGATCTCCTTCCCAAATAAAACCTTATGGCTGCCTCTGGAATTAATCATCCCTGTGTTGTCTAAAATGCTAAACTGGAGCCCTTCCAAATTTCTTAAAGGATGCATTATTTGCATCCTTCCCACAGATTAACATCCGAAGCCCTCCGTGATGCTTGCAGTGGGGCTTACATTTGTATACAGATGACAAGACTGATGCACAGTCCCAGCACTTAAGACTGCAAGGGCTGGATTAATAAGGCATGAATTTGGTAGCAGGGCTCTCCTGTGGTTCTTCTGATCCTCTACAGGAAAGGTTCAGAAGGTAGGTGCCCTATTCTGAATGTAGCCCCCTCTAAACAATCACACAAGCACAATTCATGAGAATTTCAATAATTTTCCTATTTTATTCTTAACTCTATGAATAGCTGTGCTTTAAGGAGATATTAAATTTCTTAACCTAATTTCAGCACAATTTAGAAAAAATGCTCATGAGGAAATAATTAGTATAACTTGCAATATTAATAGAGAGTAACAAATACTTCATCAGGCATGTGTCTGTATAGCAATTACAACCAGCTGGGTTAGCAGGCAGGAAGAAAACTCATGGTGCCTTCACTGGGCCAGGAGAAGGGTGGTAATGCATCAGTACGATGCCGTTTGGATTTCCCAATTATTCTAGTTGTGGAAGGCTTAAGAGAAGTGTAGATATTGTAAAATGCATCTTTAAAATGCAGAAAGTGTACCCAAGAATCAAATACGTATCCACCTGATACTGGAAAGATGAGAGCCAGAGAAACACTAAATAATGCAAAATCCCAACAATTACAAGCTAAAACCAGACAACTAGGAGCATCAGGGCTGTCAGAATCAACTTTTCTGACAGGGCTCAAAAACAAGATCAGAAACAAACAAAACCAAAAATGCAAAGAAAACACACCAGAGCCATTTAGATTTTCTTGATCAAAGACTTGTTTTCACTCCAGCATGACAACTGTGCAAGGAAATTACTGTGAACTGTGGAGTATTTGGTGATACCTGGCCAGTGTATGACAAGTGCCTGGGGTAAAGCTCTGTGAAAGTTACTCAGACACTCCAATACGTGAAAGAGCAATTCCTCACAGATCTACTCAGCTGAACAGGACTCTTTCTGAGGGGTTAAAAAATGAGGTAAAAAAAAGTGTACATAATATAGAGATGTCAGACGCATTTGCAGATTTGATACCAGAGATTTATATATTTCTACTTTTTTAGAGTAGGTCCTTTCAAATGTCTCACTAGACATCTCAAATAGTCCCTTTCGAAGAGGGAGACTACAGTACATGTTTAGCTCCCTTAAAAATTTATGACATTATTCATCAAAAGCTGCATCAATCCAGTACACCCTGCACTTTCATAGACAGGAAGTCTCAGAAAGACAGCCCACCTAACTTCCCAAATCTTGCAAAACAAACTATTTTGGGCTGTGCACCCACAGCTTAGACTTCCTGCAAGCCTCATTAGCATTCCATATAACACCAGCAATAATTGCATCACAAGTTTAAACCTGCTTTCAGTGCAGTAACTTCACCAGCCCCAGTCTGGTCACTGGTGTTCCTCTAACACATTATTTTCATTCACAGTCTGAGTCAATTAATTTAAAATGCTACAACACCTGTAGTTCTTTTAATTAAAAACACACTTGACAAATATATTGTACAATAAAGTTTATTAGCTGTTCTCCTCTTTCTAACAAATGGAATGGATAGTGTTGATAATTCTTTACAAACCAAAGCTGATTTGGTTGTGGGGCTGCCCCACGACTGCCATAAGTACATCCCTCTTATAAACAATCAGTTGCAAACAAGCAATGGCAGGTACCAAATAATATGGGAATTAGAGAATTTCATTACTGAAGGTTTTGGTACAAGGTATTTATAACATTCAGCACAGAACTTTGTGCATCGCAAATGGAAGATCTTGTGCCTGTGCAATCCGAGCTGAATACGTACAGAAAAATAAAATGTACTGTTGTCTCTGAATTCTCCCTTTGGTTAAGACATGCATATTACAAAGGGGGCGGGGGAAGACAAACACCCGAAATTCTGTAGAAAAGAGGAGAACTTGCATGTATTTTTTTCTTGTACTAATATTCCCTGGACTTCATGCCCAGCCATCATAGCCCATTTCTTTTTTTTTGTGATTAAGGAAGGTAAATTCTAATTTGTTCTTTTTTTTATTTAAAACAAAAAGCTAGGAGTAGGTGGTAAAAGAAAAATATATATTTTATATATATATATTTATACGTGTGCGCAACTATGTAAAGAAAATAATTCCCATAGTTACAGAGTTTAGTTAAAGAAAGTTTAATATATATATATTTATTATAACAAAATAGGCAGTTATTGTGGGTAAAATATTCATTAAAATCTGACCCCTAAGAACACACACATTTTTAGGCTATGAATCATTCTCTCATTGCCCTAATGACCATCTCTGCAGCTGTTTTCTGTATTACTGCCAATGGAAATTTGGCATTCCTCTGAAAAATACAAGGTTTCGTAGCACCTAAACATATTTTAGGCTCAAAAAGTGTGATGACCATTATCTATAAAGAATTTCTGTAATACACTATAAATAGTGTTTCACGAGGAAGATTAAAAACATTACACATCTTTGTCCCTAGCAATTTCATTGGCAAAAAATGAAAAAATAGATTATAAGAATATCCATATGAAATTATGAAAATGAATATCCCTTGAGGACTATTAATGGGACTTAATGAAAATGTGAACTCAAAATTTGAAAGTTTCTCTCTAACTGCCTGGAAAGAAAAAAAAGATACTGTGAGAATAGAATTGAACTCAGAAAATAAAACCTGAAATTGATTGCCCTGACCAAACCATGCTATTAAAGTTAAGCGTGCAAAGTTACTCATAATTTACAACTTCCTTGAATACAACTTTTCTTTCAATTGTTATGAAATTTTAAAAGAGTGTCTATAAAGCTTTTTTGAAAAATCTTTGAAAGTTACTTTCCCTTAAACATTAAGGAATTTTACCAAGCAATTCCCTCCCACCCCCACCCTAAACTAATAGCTGGTCAGGCCATTCCGCTGTCATGTCTGAAAAATGGCAAACCAACAACACACAATAATACAAATTATTTAAACTAAGAGAGACACCAAATGTAAAGCATTATGGGAACTGCAGAATGTGATGGTTAGGGTATGAACCACGCTGGAGAGAACTAGAGGCAGGCTCCACTGGAAGGGCTTAAGAGTCGTCAGATGTAGTAGGTGATGTCAGTTAGAAAATGAAAAATAAAAATCTGTTTTCATAATTTTTCCTTTGCTGGAACCCAGATGTAAGGACCAGACTGTTCCTCTATGATCTGTTTGACTTGGTTGTAGATTTCTTCCAGTGTGTCTCCTTGGACAATAGCTGCAAAACACAATGTGGCAATCAGCAATCATCCTTCCCAGCTCTGTTCAGACCCCACGCTGCTCCACACAAGCTGTTCTTTTCTCTCAGAGTGGCAAGAGGATTTATGATTGCTGAAAGAACAGACACCCACGGAGATTTCTGGTTTCTGTGCTGGAGTGAAGCACAGAATGGTACTGCAGGACACACAGAGCACATCCTTGGGGACAGGAAGTGGTTTCCACTGTACTATATATATGCTCAACTGAGGAGGTTTTTTTACCTTTTCCTAACCACATGTTCCAATTTGCCTGAGTCAATTCACATCCTCCGGAATTCTTTTTGACCCAACTTTCATTGGAGTTTCCAACACAAAGCAAGACAGTACAGGGCTGTGTCCTCATACAGCCAGTCTCAGTCAGGCTTGGTGAAATGCTCAGCTG